TTTATGAATCTGTGTGTCCGGGCCAGCTTGCGCGCACCTCGATTAATCACGGGCCAACCGTCTGACCCTACTAATTTTGGTTGACAAGGTAACTCGTAGAATATTAAATCCTAGGTAGGTGGCCACCATGGTTTGAACTCATTCCCTCTGAGTCCTTTACTATTTACTTTGGCTCTCATTGACTACTTGAGCCAGCAAGGAGTGACCCAGATATAAAAGTTTTTGTTCCATGAATGTATACATGCACTTTTAACACATTAGACTTCAATGTTTTGAACTTGTAAATCGTTGTATTAAATTATTTATGTGTGATTTTTTTAATACTACAGTCCCAATATGGATCATATTTTACTATAATCCCACTATGGGTCATATTTTGATTTTCTGTTATTTCCTTGAAAATGATAATAATAGGTGCAACAAGTGAAGCCTGATGTACTTCTTGGATTGTCTGCAGTTGGTGGATTGTTCACAAAGGAGGTATTACGCATGGTTCTGGATACAAATATATTCTTGGTCACTACTCTTTTATTGCCTTAATACATATTTTTTTCAGGAGATGATAAACTGACTGTACTTTCAGTTATTTGTGCCTAATTGTGGGTTAGATCTCTATGATTCAAACACCATACGTACCTACAAAATTGGATGGAGATGGCGGGGGGAAAAGAATTTGTTTTCTTGAAGATTTCACAAGCAGTTTTGATTAAGAAAAAACTAATTTGATTTATTTCTTACCTTTCACTTAATTAGAAATTGGGTTAGATTCTTAAAGCAAACCTATGGAGATTAAGAATGATGGAAGGGAATAAAATTATTAAAATAAAAAAGAAAGGGAAAAAGTAAGCATAGTTGAAGTAGAAAAGGCCAAATTCCAAAGGAATGAAAACATAATTGAATTGGTTATCTTGTGTATAATTTTGGTATCAAGGGATAATAAAGGATCGTCCAAACGTGGAACTTGTGCAATTTACTCTTTTTATACAACATGTCTTTAGGTATTAGAGGCTCTTAAACAATCAACAGCAACAAGACCTGCCATCTTTGCGATGTCCAATCCTACAACAAATGGTACAGTTGTACAATCTATGAATCTCTCTACCTGTTAATAGGTCACAAATCTTGCCCGTCAACTGGTTGGTAATCCTTGCAACTTGTTTTACCATCTTATGTAGCTGAGTGCACTCCTGAACAAGCATTCTCAATCTTGGGTGAAAACATTATATTTGCGAGCGGAAGCCCATTCAAGGATGTTGATTTTGGTACGTAAAATAAATGTAATGTATCATATGCTTTAATGCTTTCATTTCCTTTTCAGGACAATTAAAACAAGGAACAGTTATGTTTCTAAAATTCTCAGATCTGTTTTCCTTTTTCTTTTTTCGAAAGGATCTGTTTTCTTTTTTCTTCTTGAGGTGTTAGAAAATAAGTAAAAGTTTAGCAAGAATACAGGAAATTTTTTGTTGCATTATTTTCTTGAAACTAGCAAATCAAATTGGGGGACTCTATCAAATGATATTTAGCTTGCCATCCTGTTTCAGTTAACATCCATCTTTAAATCCCTATATTTTTTCCAAGAGATGGAAAGTAAGTTTTGCATCTTATTTGGACTTTATTTAATGACTAAGCTTTCAGCATTTACTGTGGGTGGGAGTAGTGTTTTTCTTTCAACTAACTTTTAGCAGTAAGTAACCTCCCATTTTCCATTATGCATCAATAATTTGAGAAATTATTTTGAAAATATGTTTCTTCTTTGTGCAATTTTTTTCTTAAAATTGGAAAACAAATCAAGGAGAGAGACTTTAGTGAGTTATAGTTACAATAATAATAATTATAATAATGTTTCTTCATCGTGATAACAATAATGATTATTGTTAGTAGTAACTAAAATTTGGTGAGTCGTTCTCTCATGACTCTTCTGTCTTCTTTTTGTTCATAAATTATGAAATGTGTTTCTTATTATTTCCATGCTAGAGAACAACCTTTAATGTTATTCAATTTCTACGAGTTTGATATATTAAAATATGTTTTCCTTTCGAGGTATTTTAGAAATTGTTCTAATATAATTTCAAAGACTTACTGAAAATTTTATATAAATATTCCTCAGGGAATGGTCATATTGGCCACTGCAACCAAGGAAACAACATGTATCTTTTCCCAGGGTTAGTTTATCAAGTTGTGCATTGTAATGGTGATAAAGAGAAATGTTTTTAATGATATTTGAGGTTTATAATGTGTGTGGATGAATGTTTGTGTAGTATTGGGCTCGGTACTCTTCTATCTGGCTCTCCTATCATATCCGATGGCATGCTACAGGCTGCTGCTGAGTGGTAAGGTTCCTATACTTTCATGTTGATGCAAATTTCGAAGGAACAGTCTCTAGAATTTTATGATGATAAAATTTGGTCATTTTGCAATATAGCATAGTGTAACGTTTTGTTGTTAGCTTTAACCTTAAGGACTTGGTAAGAGCAGTAGTGAGAAAGAACTCATTGATTGAAAAAGACATTGGTTTTTTCTAGAAGAAAAGTTTCACCAAAAAGTTTTATCCACACGGAAATGCTCCCAAACTTAGTCAAAGAAGGGAGTTAAAAGAGCATGCTTAAATTGGCATACGCCTTGGGGTGGGTGCGGGTGCCTCTGGATATAAGGGAATAAAGCTCCAGCTCCTAATTAAAAAAAAAACATAAAATAGAGGGAGTAATTACAGTTCGTTTAGAATACAAGAGTCTAGGGCCCAAAAGTCAGATAGTATCCGAACGTTCCGTAAAGTGTCTTTTATTCCTTAAATAATTTGTCCATTTCTTTCAAACCAAATTTGTTGCTAACTAGATCCATTAACATTTATGTCGGGAAAATTTCAGCCTAGTACAAAAAATGATGACCACGAGACAAATTCAGTACGAATATCTTCAAGGAATTGTATTTCAATAGATTACTTCTGCCAAAGTCCATGGGAAAAAGGATTTTGTTAAAAACAAACGATTAACATCTTTTCAATCTTTTTTACACTATGTGCACCACCTTGGAGATAGGTCTAGCTTGATCTTTTTCTTAACTCCCCAGGATGAGGGTTCAAATGAAAACTTATTTTTCTCGTACACTTCTGAGTTCTGATGCCAAATCTCCTTCTGATGTTGGAAGGAATAGCAACCTCCACTTCCATCAAAATTTGCTAGAGAAATTTTATAATACACACCTTGTCATCCTTAGAATGTATCTCTTATTTGTGTATTTGTCAGTCCAACGGACCTGGCTAGGACGCCTGTGTATTGGAAGAAAAGCTTCATTCTTTGGGAAATTAAGGATCTAAGTGAGGGAAACTAGTTCAGTTGAGAACGAGTAGTTAGCTTCTTCATTTTAAAACCTGACCCTACTTTCTCTGCTTCTCGTCAATTTATACATTATGTTGTGCTTAATCAAGCATCTATGTTCTTGGTATTTCCCACCTATGTGGGGAGGGGTTCAAGAGAGAACTATGTGTGTGCTTATTTGCTTAACAATTTCGATATTGATAACTTTATAAGAACCTAACTGCCTGGTGGGGCTGGGTTTTAGGAATGGATCCAAGATATAATGCACAAACTTCGAAGATTTTTGTTTTCTGTGAGATGAAAAATGCAAATGGAAATTGGGATTCGAGAACTTCCCAAATTGTTAATCATTCGAGACTTCTCGATAACTCTTAGGATTGGACATATAGACCATTTTACCTTTTGGCGTGTGTGCACAAGGTATTTATCATTGCTGGCAGTAGAGAATTAAGTAAACCAAGTAAACTCATTTGCTGACATGGCAATATCAGCCAAGTTTCACGCCAGAAGAAGGTTGGATTTATGAAGTGTTAGGTTTTTCAACAGCTTATTGAATGTCTAATTTTATATTCTAATAGTTTAAAGCATGTTTATGATAAAACGTACAATGTTCATGAGGAGTATAATTTTTTTTTTTTTTTTTTTTTTTTTTTTTTTTTGTTTTGCACTTGCGAGCTCTCTCATTTTTTCGCATTTGGAAGTTGGCTTCTTAATAAAAATTTGTAACAACAGCCTAGCTGCATATATGAGTGAAGATGAAGTCCTCAAAGGAGTTATTTACCCATCAATTTCTAGGTGAGCCATCTTTATTTGATGTTAATTTTTTTACGCTTATGGAGATGAGTAAGTGTGAAGTTTCACGAGGGTCTCTATGTTTGTAGCATCCGTGATATTACAAAGGAAATTGCAGCCGCTGTTATTATGGAAGCCATAGAAGAGGATCTTGCAGAAGGATATCGGGGCATAGATGCTCGAGAGCTCCGAAAATTTAACAAGGTATATCATAGTTTTTGAAAATTTTCTAATTATATTTCTCGCAAAAACGGTAATGGTCCAACTTTTCATCAATGAAATGAAAAGGAACAAGAAATTGTTCACTGAGCATGGTCTATATTTTTTAATATAAAAAAAAATACAAATACTGTTGCCAACATAGGTAAAAGTATTTTTTAACTCCTTTCCTTGAGGTCGGAGTTTCCAATCTTAACATCCAACACAAGGAAACGATAGATACTATAGTGTTGCGTGCTTTTTGCATTTTGCCATGAAGATAGAAGTTAAAAACTATTGTTGAAGAACAGGATGCCACTTGGGAGTTTACTTGTTTGGTGATATGATTTTCATAATGTAATGCAAATTGTAATTCAAGAGTATCGTTATGGTGTAATAAGGGGCCGCTTCTATTGGCAAAGGCTGAGAATCTCTTGCTTGTACCGACTTAGAGATCTCAAATTCAAATTTTCGGATGTGTTTAATACCACAAATCTTCGATGTCTCTCGGTTTTGGGCCTTGGAGGGGCTGCAAGTGCCTTAGTGTATAAGGGAGTAAAGCTCCAACTTTTTACCTCCAAATTTCACGGTTTTTTTTCCTTTTTTTTCAGGAGCAAATTTTGGAATTTGTGAAGAACAACATGTGGAATCCGGAATACCCGACACTAGTTTACGATCAGGATTGATCGATCTTAGTAAGAACAGAATAACAATATCATTTCATGTAACTGTCTATAATGCCGCACGATTGTTCATTTGCTTCTGAATTTGATAGCCATAATAAAGTTCAGAGGAGTTGTTTATATTCATGATCCATCTTTTGCCAATATCTTCAGGGTTGGTAATTTGGTAGCATTTATATTTATTATGAATTATGGCTATTTGTTGTATGATATCGATTTTAATAAAATTTCCAGGTGCGATCAATTTGTTGGATCAATTTCTTCGGCTTGGCTGGTAGGGCCTTTATGAGGATTTATTGTTGGAAAAAAATGATAAATACTTACAAATATTTATTTCTTTTTTTCTTAAGTCTTAAAAAGCAATTCAAGGTGGCAAAGCACTAATTACTTTGATGTACAATCAATTTTTTTTTCCATTTTAGAATATAGCATTATATAAAGATTTAATTTTTCACTTTATAGGAAAGGTTATTAATTTATTGTTGCCTAACTCGAGCTGGTTATTGTAAGCATTATTAGTTAAAGAACTAAGACTTTTTTTTTTTCTAAATATTAAAACTTAAAAATTATTCTATAAGGAAATATACTAAAAAATAATAGATTATAACTTATAAGATAAATTATATTATGTATATTGCTAATTACATTGATTTGTTTTTCTAATTTTATCTACATTTTAAATATATAAGCCATAAGGAAATTTTCATTTTCTTTGAAAATTTGTGCATAAGTTCATTCAAATAAATTCCATACAATGCATACTCATTTGGAAACAATAATACTATAGTAAATAGTTATTGAAAGTCAGACCCAATTGACAGCAAATCGTGCTTCTTTCCTTCTATTCTATTTATTTAAAAGTTAAAATTAAATGAATAAATTTAATCAATAAACTTTTGAAGTTTATACCGTAGCCTATGAATTTTTAAAGTATTTAATAAATTTATAAATTTTAAATTTATATCTAAATCTCTAAAATCTAAATATGTTTAATACATTCATAGATTTTCAAATTTAAGCCTAATAACTAATTAATTAATTTATTAGACACAAGATAAATAAATAGATGAACTTATTAAATAGAGCCTAAACTTATAAAAGAATAAAAATTCTCATTCTAAGCAAAAGAAAAAAATCTCAAATTGTGGAAGCGGCTGTTATGCCGCCATTGCCAATCCCTACGCAGTCAGCTTTCTCTAGAATTCCCCATCCCAGCGGGCCCCACCGCTACAACATTCTGAGAACTTTTTTAAGATATTCAAAATTCAAAATTTGAAAACCCACGTGAGTGCACGCGCGGCGCGCTATAGTGTGGCCCAATCAACGGCACGCAACAACTGTCCGAAGCAAGGCGCATTTTAGCGGCTTTCAATGGACCTTTGACGACTGTCCAAGGCTAAAGTAGCGAGCACAGGCCATTCCTTCAGCTCTTCAATTCATTTTCTCGTCCTTTCGATTCCTCAGAACAGTGCCCGCCTCTCTTCCTTCCTTCTGTAGCCTCCATTTTCGCTTCCTCTCTGCTAGCTTCTTGTTTCTTGTATCTTTGAATTCGAGGGTTTACGAGGGAGGTGACTGTTTGGTTGATTTTTGGCTGGTGTTAGCGATGACAACCATGGAGAGCTTGATTGGGCTGGTGAATAGGATCCAGAGGGCGTGTACTATGCTCGGCGACTATGGCGGCGGTGACAACGCCTTTTCTTCTCTCTGGGAAGCCCTTCCCTCTGTTGCTGTCGTCGGTGGACAGGTGCTTCTTCTTTCTTCCATATCTCTCTTCATTTTCGTTTTCTTTTGTTACTTATGTGGCAAGTATTGCAAATTCTTGTTAGCGTTGGAGGAATTACTATGGGGAGAAGCTTCGGCTTTAGTCTTTCGAAGTGGAGGAAGTATGTGTATATGGCTAGGGTTTTGGGAGACGGAAGAATAAGCCACTTCTTTGCGCAAGAGGGATTCCAAGTGAAGGAAGTCTTCGGTTTACGTATAGACCGACCTTCATGATGGACGTTTCATTTTCATTTTCTGACTGTTTCGTTTTTTGTCCCGCAAAACAGAGTTCAGGAAAATCTTCGGTTCTGGAAAGCATCGTCGGTCGCGATTTTCTTCCGAGAGGTTCAGGTGAGGCATTTGATCTTTTAGGTTTTACTTCAAGTAGCATCGTTTAGCAGTTAATTTATAAAGTTTAACTGGGTTTCTTTTTGGTAATTGCAGGGATAGTAACACGACGGCCGTTGGTGTTGCAGCTTCACAAGACAGAGGAGGGGTCGCAAGAGTATGCTGAGTTTCTTCACCTTCCTAAGAGGAGATTTACGGACTTTGGTATGCTGCACATTTCCATGTTGTCTTTCATGATAGTTAGTTTCGGATTATTGTTCATGACAAGTGATTATTTTACATGTTCAAAATTATAGTTAGTTTCGGACTTGTGATTTACATGTTCAAAATTGCCGTTTTTGTAAGAAATTTCCCATTTGTTGTTCTAGCTCGTTGTTATTTTTCTATTCTATTTTCAAGTTGAATTCATCATTTCCTCTTCTTGTAATGTACTGCAGCTGCGGTCCGTAAAGAAATTCAGGACGAGACTGACAGAGTAACTGGGAGGACAAAACAGATATCCCCAGTTCCCATCCATCTTAGTATTTACTCTCCAAATGGTTTGTGATTTTTCGTCTGTTGATTCATCTATTATTTGAATGGTTCATTTCCATGGCTGTGTGATTTTGTTTATTCCGTAGTTGCCTGAGCAATATTGGTTATATTACATTTCTTGGCAATTCCTCTCCGGTTCAATTTGTTGGTGCTACTTCACTAATTACCCATAATTTATAAGTGTATCATTTGTAAAGGTCTTTTTTGTTCATTTTGCTTCTTTATTTGCTATGTTTGATCTTAAAGGTACATTCACTCCACCGAATGGTTTCTTGTTATTTTCCTCTTCTGTTGCAGTTCTCTCTATATTGCTTACTTTTATAATACTGGTTTTTTTTTTTCTTTTTTTAATTTCTGCCTACTCTCTAGATCCTTTGGCTAAAAAATAGTAAATCTAGTACTGTTGGATGAATGTTATATCAAAATACGGAAGTGAATAACCATAATCTTAACAGCTCTGTAATTGTATATTCCGCCCTTTTCTAACATGTGAGGGGGAGACTAAGACTAATAAAAGATTAATGGCAGTTAAGACTAATAAAAGACTAATGGAAGTTTATTTACTTGAATAGCAGCATTGACATCTTAGGAATATTTATTTTGTACCAACCTCTTATATTTGAATTAGTACGTTAATATCAAATATCTGACTCTTTCTTTCTTTTATTTTTCAGTTGTCAACCTAACTCTTATTGATTTACCTGGTTTGACAAAAGTCGCAGTAGGTATGTTGATATGTTTTACTGATGAATATTTTGATTCAACATGATTTGTGTATTCTTATTAACTGATGCAATTAAAAAAATATATATTTAGAGGGACAACCTGAAAGTATTGTTCAAGACATTGAGGCCATGGTTCGAACTTACGTTGAGAAGGTAATGAGATTATATATTCCTTTTCAGTTATAATTATTGTGTGATGAGTACTCAAGCCTTGCATCAGACAAGGATGTATGGGTACTCAAGTTATGGTACTCGAACTTTCATTGTTTCTGTTTACCTTTATAAACATGTCATAAATGCTATTATGAACAATGGTGCTCACTTTTTCATATGTTCATAACTTGTATTAAAGCAGTTTGTGTAATCGAGTTATCCTGCTCCTCGCACTCCATATTGATTTGAATATATATTTCTTTGTGTTCTTTTTCTGCTTTACTTGTAAATATACAGTGTACTATATTATATTTTATGTGATATTTATTTTGTGCCTATTTTTTACAGCCTAATTGCATAATTCTGGCAATATCTCCTGCCAATCAAGACATAGCAACTTCTGATGCTATAAAACTTGCCAGAGAAGTGGACGCGACTGGTATGATCTACTTGTAGCTCCCTTTATTTTCTTCTCTCCTTTTCTTTACATATATATTTACACATTGAAACTATAAATTTTGTAGCTTTCCAAACTTGTGATTATGGTTTTTGTGCAATTGAGTAGGGGAACGAACTTTTGGGGTGTTGACAAAGCTTGATTTGATGGACAAAGGAACTAATGCTTTGGATGTAAGTCATTGTTCTGTTGATTAGTTTTAAGCCTTGATAGGCGAACTTTTAGCAGCGGGATATGAATTTATGATGAGTACCCTCTACATTCTTCAATGTTTTAAATGTTTTGAAGGAGGAATTGAAACATACATGTTAATTTTATTCTTAAGGTTTTAGAAGGAAGATCATATCGACTACAACACCCATGGGTTGGCATAGTGAACCGATCTCAAGCTGACATAAACAAAAATGTAGATATGATTATTGCTAGGCGTAAGGAGCGTGAGTACTTTGCAACTAGTCCTGACTATGGACACTTGTCTAATAAAATGGGTTCAGAATATCTTGCAAAACTCCTATCAAAGGTTTGGTTTCAAGTTTCAATTTTATCGCCTTCCAGTGTGGTTTCTGATTTGCTCAAAAAGGTAATTTTTTTTATGGTGCATTCTTGTCCTTTTAGCACTTGGAGTCAGTTATAAGAGCTCGCATACCAAGTATTACTTCTTTGATTAACAAAAGCATCGATGAACTTGAATCTGAGATGGACCATCTTGGTCGGCCTATTGCTGTTGATGCTGGGGTGAGAAACTTATTGCTCTTGTTATAGACTGTTAAATGTTTTGCCTTTACACTACATTTTTACTTACCTATTTTATCTCAGGCTCAATTGTATACTATTTTGGAACTTTGCCGTGCTTTTGATCGGATTTTTAAGGAGCATTTGGAAGGAGGGTAAAGTATTTTGTAAAATTTGTGTCCTCAGTTCTTTGTGATTTTTCTTCTTCTGACTATCTTTGTGATCAAATCACAAGACTCTCTTCCTTAGAGGCGATAGAGATCTAGCTTTAATAACGTATATCATTTTTCCAGGCGACCGGGAGGTGATCGTATATACGGGGTTTTTGACCACCAGCTTCCTGCTGCTTTGAGAAAGCTTCCTTTTGATCGGCATCTTTCCATGCAGAATGTGAGGAAAGTTGTATCAGAGGCAGACGGTTATCAACCTCACTTGATCGCCCCAGAGCAGGGTTACCGACGACTAATTGAGGGAGCACTGAATTATTTCAGGGGGCCAGCTGAAGCTTCTGTGGATGCTGTATGTCACTCCATAGCTTCTCATCTATTTGGGTCATTATTAGTCTTTTCGTACTAGTAATTTATTAGTGCCTCTACTAACATATGAAATTTTCCTTTAGGTTCACTTTGTTTTGAAAGAACTTGTGAGGAAGTCTATTGGAGAAACACAGGTAAATAATACTGGCTGATGGTGGTTTTCCTTGGGAGAAATTGTAATGAACGATATAATATATTGTTTTAAAATTGTTATGATTTGGTTTGGAACATCAGGAATTAAAGCGCTTTCCCACTTTACAAGCTGAGATAGCTGCCGCTTCTGGTGAGGCCCTGGAAAGATTTCGCGAAGAGAGTAAGAAGACGGTGATTCGACTTGTTGACATGGAATCCTCCTACTTGACAGTGGATTTCTTTCGAAGACTTCCTCAGGAGATTGAGAAAGCTGGGGGCCCGGCTGCTGCCCCGACAACGGATCGATACACAGAGGGTCATTTTAGGAGGATTGGATCAAATGTGTCCTCTTATGTAGGAATGGTATCAGACACTCTGAGGAATACTATCCCCAAGGCCGTGGTTTATTGCCAAGTCAAGGAAGCTAAGCAATCGTTGCTAAATCATTTTTACACCCTATTAGGGAAGAAAGAGGTAAAAAWTTTTCTCGACTTTAATTAAGAAACTTCCATTTTTCTCGTCATTTTTCCTAGATGACCTGGTAATTTTTTATAAAAAAAAAAAATAATATAGCATTACAATTGTGAAAGTGAGATTTGAATCTCCATCCTAAGAATAGATGTTATTAATGCTTTAACATGAGTATAGTGTTGTTGCTTTAACTTAGAGCTATGCTCAGATTGACATTTGTCGGATTGAGATCTACCTCAGTAGCAATGTTTTTGTGTATCGGGATATTAAGGGTCTCGCCCTTTGCACTATACCTGATGTTCGAAGATATGATTTTAAGTTATTAAGTTTCCGTCTTAGGGCTTGACCCCAGGTTTTGATGGTAGTAGTCTAAGAGATCACATTTATTGTTTTTGAATGTGATATATCAGGCCAAGCAGCTTTCACAATTACTGGATGAGGACCCTGCACTGATGGAGAGAAGGCAGCAATGTTCAAAGAGGCTTGAGCTCTACAAGGCAGCCAGGGACGAGATCGACTCGGTGTCGTGGGCACGTTGAGGTCGATATATCAGGGAGCGATTACACCTTGTATGATACAGCTGAATTTGTAGTCATTTTATTATGATGATGTAACCATGGACAAAGGGATATTTTGCATGATGGCTGTGTGTTGATCTTGCATTCCCCATGTAATATATATATATATCTCTTATATATTTTTATTTGCCTTGCAATATTTGGTGTTATGCATTCTTTATTTGTGGTTGCAGCATGTTTTTTATGGCCAGCTTCCTATACTTTTTTWTTTATTTATTTAATATTGCTCTTGGATCATAGAATGAATTTATAGTTATAATGTTTGGTTTTTATTTTATAAAAAAATTATATTTATGTTCACTTCTGTATTTTTATTTTTAAGATTCTGTCATAGGATATCAATTCAAGCATTATTCAAATAATAGGAATCTGTGAAAGAATGATGCTCAAATTCTTATTGAACTAAAATCAATTATACATGCAAGAAAGTTGTAGGATTTCTCACACATTACATTAATTGATGATTGATGTATTTATAATATAATAAAACAAACTATTTACTAACCCAAGATTTTGTTGATTAATTGATTAGTGACTTATGGATTGAAGAGATTTTAATGATGATTGAAATGGTATTCAATTTTCTATTAACATGCTACATTTTATAAAATATATATATACAACATTGGTATTACATATGTTGGGATAATTTATAGATTAAAATATCATCTAAGTTTTAACTTCTTTCTGCCTTAAAAAAATAATAATAARTGAACTTCTTTATTTTTCTGTTAATCGAAAATATTAAAAAGTCGAATTTTAACTCAGATAAGAAAAACTCCATTTTTTTCTTCTTAAACCTCATTTATTATYTGGCTTCTAGATTTTAAAATTTAAATTACTTTGGTTCCTTAAGTTGCAATAAATTTTAAATTTGAATTTAATTATTTTCAAAAGAAAAAAAAATAATTTTCACTATCAAAATTTTAAAATGGAGAAACATAATATACAAAATAAAAAAATTTAGGAACTAAATTTATAATTATAATTCAAACTAAAATAATTAATGTTTAAGGTTGCTATGATAAAGCTTTAAAAAATTTTAAAGTCCAAATAATCAAAATTATATTTTAACCTAATTTGTATAAATTAGAATACCCGCGGGCACTGCCCCTTCTAAACGAGGCAGTGACTGAGTTAAAGCGTCGCCACTTCAAAGCCAGGATATTGTCTTCTGCTCAATCCTCTCTCATGGCGCCACGGACGTAACTGAAGAAGCTTCGACGGGATGAATGGCGCTTGCGGCAGCGTCTTCCAGCTCTGGCAGAGCCCTCCGGCCAAACGCCTGATCATCGGAAGCTTCAAAGTTTCCTACGGTTCTGACTCCATTTTCGCTCTCCGTTTCTTGCTTATATTGTTTAGGAGGAAAATGAATTTCGGTCTTTTCTTCATCGCTTTTGTTAACTGCTACTATATCGTTGAAATTGGAGTTGTTGGACGCGGCTTTGCTCAATTACCGCCATTTCTTAGCTTCTCGAATAGTTTGGTTTTCGTTCCAGTTTGTTTTATCGCTTCCTTTTGAAGTCAATTTTGCAGCCAGTGGATGAAGAACTAGTAATAATAATATAGAAAATGTCGTTGTGTTCATTTGAAAATTAGAACACTGGAGTTTAGTACTTTTTCTTTAATCATACTTCCGATGTATTCTCTGTTTTGACTTCATTTCATTATATTCTCCTACTCATTTTTTACTTTAGATGTTTGATACCTCTTTGTGCTTTTTCTGGCTGATTTATGATAGTTACTATTTGTCTTCTTATGTAGGTATGCATGTGATAAAGAGTTACAGGATTTATCCAAATCAATGCTTCTGTAGATCGGTTCAAACTGAAACATATAACGTTGTCAATGGTAGTTATATACCGAAAACTGAAACAAAAGATGAAAATGAGGCGAAGGTATGTGGTTCTGTAGTTTCATCTGTTTTAGTTGGGGAGTTGTGCCGTTGTACATCTTAATTTGATATTAGTGAAATGTGTTTCCTATAAAATAAAAAGAAAATGTAAAAACTCTGAGTTTATTTGATTTCACTCTGTAGTTAGATAACAAGATAAGAGAAAAACAATATTTCTGCATCTTTTTCAGGATTCACCTTAAAATAAAATTGATTTTGTTGATTAGAAATTAGAAAGCTCAAGATTTCATTTGTTTCACATGGTTTTTTCATATTAGCGTGTCATACACATTTCTTCACATGGAGGAGCCAAATTTATGTTTAGCTCTTCCCTGTTATCTTTTAGTTCAATTCTAGTTGACAGAGTAAGCTGCTGTTTCATGTCTTGGCTTCAGGAAAAAGAAAAACCATCAAAGAATCTTGAGAGCGTGGGTGCATTTCAGAAGCTGCCGATGGTGATGCCATCTCTTGATATCTTCTACTCTGCACTAAAGAAGGCGAAGAGGGTTAGCCCTACAAAGGGTATTTTTAGTAGCATGTGGTTTTGTTTATGTGTTTACACTAGCAAGGCTGGTCTTGGGAGCTGATTTTTGGGAAAGTGGATTCAAAGAACCTTCTGCTTATGTTGACTTTTTTAAATCCATCTTCAGGTATAGCTAATATTGCAAAGAGAGAGAGAAATAGGGGTGCCAAACAGCTTGATACACTGATGAAAGTTTGTTCTCATCCAAATATCAGTCAAAATTTTTTATCCTAATAATTATACTGGTGCTCTGTAATTTTAAATGAAATATTGTAAAAGCTAATATCATGACATCTTGTTTCCTTTGATAGGAATTAGCAATTCCCTTAAGAACGTACCTGGAAGAGTTTCCAAAGAAAGAATATCTTCACCCTTATGAATGCTCTCTCATCGAGTTGACGCTTGGAGATGGAATGTAYGAAGAGGTATACCATGAAGCAGCACTATTTACCTTTTTGCATCATAGATGTTAATGGTTTGTCCTTCAGTAATTAGTTCTCTTCCAACTTGCTAATCTTCTATTAACTGAAATCACTGAGTTAACTTGTTGTAAGGCCTCTTAAGTATTCGCGTATGATGCTCTTGTGGTAATAGATTTAAATTTTGGAAGATATTAGATCCATTTTCAGAATGGCAATTTAATATGTTTTTCTTTATAGTTTTTTTGCAGAGAATTATTATTCTGAGCCATGTTGCAGAAATTTATTATCTGTTGAAATTTACATATGATTCTATGACATAATCTGGTTGTGCAAATATTCTTATAACAGATCAATCTTTCATTACTGTTTCTACATTTAACATTTAACAGGTCTTGAGAAAGGTTGATGCTTTAAGAAAGAAAGTGGTATCTGTAGGGAAGGAGCATGCTTCTCTCTGTGCGAAGGTTAGGATTCTATAAGTTGTATTTTTTTTTTTGTAGTCAATTGCTGGTAATTACTTTCTTCTTAATTTTCCTTGGTTAAATTTCATAATATACAGATGTCGTAGGTGCAATTTCACTACTTCTAAGCATATGAGATATACTGTCATTTGGTAAATTTGGCCTTGTCATTTAAAAATCTTATGGTTAGATGTGGTAAGAATGATTCTTTGGAGAATTTTGCTTGAAATTAAAAGGAGCGACTTAAGGGAGGAAAAGAAGGATTGGGAGGAGATTTTCGAATTGCCGCCCACGCCGCCGCCGCCCCAAAAAAAAAAAGTTCATAATTAATTGAAATTTAATCTGGATGGTATTTCTAATTTTGTTTGCAGTCCACATCAAAGCGGGAGGCTGAGGAAAGACTTAGTGCGGTCAGTTCTCTCCATAATGAATCAGCGTTCTACTGAAATATTGCGAAATCATTTGCCATAATGTACTTTAACTGCAGGGTATGAAAAAGGTGGAAGAAGTCTATATTCATCAAGCAAAAGCTGTTGATGATCTGTTGCATATTGCAAAGGTATTCATTTTCTGCAATGACTAACTGCATATTATATTTATGAAGCGATATCGTAGATGCAATTCCTTACCTCCCCCCTTGAATTATGATTTCATTGAAATTCCGATTTGTCGATGCCTAGAGGTGCAGTTCTTTAATATCTTCCCTTCTAATCAATGTCGCTTGGCCATTACAATTTGTGTGTAATGACATGTTCGATTTTTTATTATACATTTTGGATCCAACAAGCTTAATTTCTTAACATTTGGAACCTACAGTAATTAGTAATGATATTTGATATGCTATTCATCAGACTTTACGGGCAATGCCAGTTGTAGACTTGGATAAACCAACCCTCTGCCTTGTTGGAGCCCCTAATGTCGGGAAGTCGTCTTTGGTTCGAATTCTCTCTACTGGGAAGCCTGAGGTGTGTACGTATTTACCATTATGTTCTACTTAGGTGATCTTACAAAGATAGAACTGAAAAGAATAAAGATCCTGAATCTTGATGTACCTTTTTTACTCCCATTGTTTCCCAGATTTGTAACTACCCATTCACAACACGAGGAATACTGATGGGTCATATAGTTCTAAACTACCAGCATTTTCAGGTGATATTTGTCCCTAGAATATGTGGATGACTTTTTTTCTTCTTTTCTTCTCTCCACTCAATTTATCCACATCTGCAAATCTGATTGCAGGTAACAGATACTCCTGGCCTTCTGAAAAGATCTGATGGTAATCACATTTAAGGCTTTGTTTATTTTCTTTCAGAGAACCATAAATTTCACTGTTTTTTTTTTTAATTAAAGCTATGATATAAAAATCCTGTGCAGTGTCACCTCTTCTATGGCTTAAAATGAGTTATGTCGACAACAATGAAAATATAGAGCTCTTTTAAGAGAATAATTATCTGTCAATATCCATGTCAAGCCTTTCCGTTAACAAAAGTAAGGCATTTTATTAATTTTATTGTTAAAGGCATTTCGATGTCAAATCGTKATGTACTGTATCAAAAGTTGCGTGCTTCTTGTTTTTCTATTCCTCGTATGGTTTTTAATAGACATAGAATTTTAAATGTTGATATCAATAGAAATATCGAGATCTCAATTTTATTAAAATGTTGATGAAAATATAAGTTGATGTCGGTGTGTATTTTAAAAATATGTATAAAAATAAATATTAATAATAAAATATTTAAATTAACAAATAAACATTTCACCCTTTTAACTAAGTTGAAAATTATCAATATTAATATTATGTCCATGTTGGTGATATTTTTTATATTTGTCTATTTTTTGTGATATTATTGAAATATCCATTCACCCCACGGGTGGATTTTGAATTTGTAGATACTTGGGCGAAAATTAAATACCCTACTTTGACACACGCTAGACTTTGGTTTAACATCCTTTCCTCTGAATCTGCAGAGGACAGAAACAATTTGGAGAAGTTGACACTTGCTGTCTTGTCACATCTTCCAACGGCAGTGCTATTTGTTCATGATCTCTCTGGAGAATGTGGCACTTCACCTTCCGATCAGGTATCACTATGCTTTTCCTCATTTTGAAATTCAGTATCAATAATGACCTAAATGGCACAATATTAGTGCAATTTGATTTGATGGTTGAACTAATCTGTAAATGCAAATGTTAAAAAATCTGATACTCCATTATCACACATAAATTCTAGGTTTTAGGCTGACTTGAACAGATTTGTGGCTAAATTATTGTGTTCTTTGGGAACCATCCAATGATCACTAATACAATACTTGTGAGGAAATTAGGGGTTCGGATGAAAACGGTGTGCTTGTGGAGTTTAACCGACCTTTTTTTTCTTGGGTATTGAAATTGTATAGAACTGAACTAATATTACAGTAGGTTCGTCAAATATGTCGACTTTTTTAGTTTTCTTTTTCACCCTAATATGCACTGTGCCCATATTCTACAGTTGGCCATCTATAGGGAAATGAAGGAGAGATATGGCGACCATCTGTGGCTCAATGTTGTCTCCAAATGTGATCTGCTGAAACAGTCTCCTGTAATCTTCAGCACAGAAAACTGTGATCGTGACGATATTGAACTGAAAAGGTACAGGCGATCTGGACCCGAGGGAGCCTTGCTGGTATCGGTTAAGAATGATGTAGGCCTCAGCGAGGTAATTGATGTAGCTTTATTGTCAGATTGACTTGCTGTTTTTTTCTTTCTGCTTACCCTCGTAAATTATTAGCGCAATAAGAGTTCTAAAGTTTCTATGATGCTAAGATTCTTATTCTACTCATTAGTTTAATAACATACCTCAATCTAATAGCCAATTTCCCGACGGTTCTAATATAAATTTTCCTAATTACTTGCCATCTTTGCAGTTGAAAGAAAGAGTACATGAAATGCTGGTTTCTCAGATGACTCGGATCAAAGAACAACAGGCAACAGAGGAAGCGTGACCTCGACGGGAACTTCTGGCCCCATTGCAACCCAAAGTCTGCACTCTGATGGTGAAACCAGAATCTCGAATTAGATGGGATTTCCCATCGTGTTGAAGAATGGGCGTTAGAAGAAGCCAATGCTGCTCATCATACATGACAATGGACATCCTCTTGGAGTATTCACATTCTCGTCGAGAAGTCCTAACGGCCATACCCACCTCCTCGCTGTGTTTATCTATCAAGGAAATAGCATGGACAGCGATCTTGTAATTTAAAGTATTTATCTGCAACTCCATTGTTCTTTTTCTCAGCATATCCTGACGGATTTTCTTTAAAGAGACAACAACATCACAAGAATTAGGTACACATTACTTATTATTGAACATAAGGTCGTTGATTCTGTTAATGGCAATATCAGATATCGGTTCAATGGGCCGGTCTTCTTCCTCTGACAAAACAGAGATGGATGGCTCTTTACTGAATTCGTCTGTAGAAAATAAAAACATAATTTCAGGAAGTTTGAAATCAAACAAGACTGAAGAAACATAAAGTCACAAACATGGTGAAAGATGTTCCACTGATTGACGGAATCCTTTTTTTTCTTATCAAATTTAATGCCGAGGAGTAATGCATCAAGTACTTAAATTTTCAATTTCATTAAATTAAACTCTGGATTATTATTCAAAGGGTATTGAAAACTGAGTTTACCAAACATCACATTGAAGGAAGTTGGCGGTGGGGTGGACAAAAAGTTGAGACCAATGTAGAACACCAAGGCTAATGCTATAGAAACCATGACATAGGCTGGCACCGCCACTGCCCAGTACCTGCGCAGAAATAGGAATGAATTTGTTAATTCCCCCAAAATAGGACACGTGTTTCTTCTAATTTTCCAYCTAAATACTTTTATTTACATAATATGCTCACACAATACTCGAAATCAAAACACAAAATGAAGGACTTCACAGTATATATTATACAAGTTCACAGAAAATCGATGTGGACAAAAGTTGTAAAGATATTCCCAAGAAAAATAGCATTTTTGTGATGTGGGATGAAAATATGGTGGCTGTTAGTGAAGTGATCTGTGAGTTCTCCATCTCAATCCGGGGAGCCTACCACACAATTCTATATGCTAGATTTTGGTGGCCTATGCCCTCCCTCTTACCATGTCTGAAAGGAATTTTGAAGAGAAATTTATGATCTTTGTGGAGTCTGTCGCAGGTTGGTGCATTAGAGGCGATTGAATTTCACAAGATTGTTCTTTGAAAAAACCTATAGGTGGAATGTATACTATGAGTACAGGGAGGAAAATTTTCTAATACTACCGGAGTACTACCCCTTTGTTCACCCTACAACTTCTCTTCTGAAATAATTCTTTAATATTGGTGAATACTACACTATTCTCAAATAATGCTAACGTGGCACACAAAGAATAACATTATACTATTCCCAGTACTAGGATATGAATTGAGGGGATTTAAAAAATTGATTGAAGAGCTAATCCAATTGATAAATATTCTATTCTATCTATTAACTGAATTTCACGCTTAGAAAAATCTATATGTGAAATGGAGAGATTCACCAAGAAGGCAAAATATTGTACTTAGGCATCGAAGCAGTTTAAATTTAAYCGAGAATTGATGATTTCTCAATCCTCCATGCTCATAGGATACTTCTCAATGAAACGAGAATGCAAATGGATCGGGATATTACTGACCTGCTAGGATAGTAAAAGATTCCAACGGAATGCAGCCACGAGTCTGGAACATATGCCCATATCAAGAATACGACTGTTCATTCAGAAACTCAGAAGTTTAGGCTCAAATAATTCTTCGGAGGCAATAATTGAAACTTAAAATATTCCCCATTCCAATATTGTTCTGTAATTAATTGAAACCCAACAGTTTTTACAACATTCCATTATTAAAACTGTGAACAATCAAAGCTCCCTAACCCGAAGCAAACATGCATGGTAATTTAACAGGCATATACATGAAACGAACCTGTAGCAACCACTGTCGAGATGGAACCTACAAACCCGTAAACTTCTGAAGGTTTGGGGCCATGGTCTCCCGATAACCCGAACCCAGGAGCTTTGTCATCTCGGTACGAGAAGAAGACTGAAGCAGTTCGTTTCTTTGATAGACTGAGTGTTCTTCTAGGGCTACTAACTGAACGGAGATTTTCCATATGTTAAACTTCTCGGCTTGGATATCTGTTCACTAGTCCAAATTCTAAACCATCCTAATCCACAATTTTAACCTTGTACTTCTTCTCAACTCAGCTTCCATTAGTTTCCTGTGATTGCATAAATTGAGTTTTAACCATATATAAAATTTTTGGGAAAACATGGACGCAAAATTTCAGGGGCCAAATAGTTCATTCATGAAGGAAGTGAAGCCGATAAATAGTTAATGATCAAAAATCCCCACGAAACTTGTCTTTAAAGAAAAATCATAAAATGGAGATTCTGATCCCTTCATAGACACCAATTTCCTCAAACAGAACAAGCAAAAACCTAATCAAAGTTTACATTGTCTATAGCGTCAACGATAGTTCCCATGACACTGATTTTAAAGTGAACTATCGGCATAGGGGAATACAAGATCGTAATTCAGAATCTCGAATTAAACAGACAATGTCGCACAATATTCACAATGATGATGGTATTGCCAATGAAGAAAATAAGGTGGACCCAATTTGGGATCTTTCATTCACATTTTTTTCCATCAAGAACGTTTTATAAAACTCTTAGACTCCCGAATTTGGAGTATCCTACTTTCACGCAATTCACAGGGTTCAACAAGCAATCGATATTTCACGATCAAGGGTGTAGTACTATTTGTAGTAGCGGTCCTTATATATCGTATTAAGGATCGAAATTCACAGGGTTCAACAAGCAATCGATATTTCACGATCAAGGGTGTAGTACTATTTGTAGTAGCGGTCCTTATATATCGTATTAAGGATCGAAAGATGGTCGAAAGAAAAAATCTCTATTTGACAGAAAAGAATCATCGTCGTAGGCCATAGGAGATGCAAACCGGGAACTGGATACTCGGAAATTCATTCTTTAGTCTCAATAGTTCGATTGCCAGAAAAAATGGTGGTGGAAATTTTCCTAAGCCAATCGAACTTATGGCAAAAGAATAACAGAGAAGAAGAGAATCAGGATTTCAATTTTCTCTATTCTACACTCGTTTTCAGGAATCCAGATGGCAAATATGGCGCGACGCATGCTTGGATCCAATCAGAAACAGCAAAACCAGGTAAATTGACAGAAAGATGCGACTAATTCAAACGAAAACTTGAAGGCAAATGCAGAATCAAACAATAAGTAATGCAATTAACGCTATTCTGATGAGAAAACAAGAGATTAAAATTCTTACCGTCGAAGAGAGAGAGCGCGCGCGCGGGAGAGAGAGATCGGAGGAGGAAAAACTGCGGAGGAAGAGAGGCGCTCTTCGAGAGGAGATATTGAGCCACATAAGTAAGTTGTGCATTGACTTTAGATTATCCTGGAAATTTGACAAAATAATTAAAAATTTAATAAAATAGTGAATATAATTACTAAAAAAAATAAATTTTTTTTCTCTAATTTCACGACAAAGTTTCGAACTTAATTTATAAAATATATATGTATTAAATTTTTTTTAGTAGATTTTAACTCATAATATTTTAATTGGAAATATATGCCCTCTTGTTGGGTGTGTTATTATTATTTTGAAAATAATATATTTCATTATTATATTTATATTTTATCTCTTAATATTACAAGTGAGTTCAATTGAAATTATTTTCATTATAAATAATATAAGTATAAGCCCTTAAATTTATTTTAAACTATTAACCATGTCTCGCTAGACTTTATTTTTTTCCTTTTTTTTTATGTAAATAAATATATTGTCACATTATTGTTTGACTATTCTTTTTTTAATAGAAGAAACCCCCATTTTTTGTCTACTTTCTTTGTCATATATATTTTTTTAAAACGTATTTATTAAATTTATTTAAAATATTTTGAACTACCTTAGTGCTATGTATATTGGTTGATGGAATGTCCACGAGATACTCTATTAAATCAAATTTGGATGAAGTACTCTAACATGACAAATAATTAATTTGATTGACTACGATCAAACGATTAACTATAACCACGGTTAAATTAGATATATGTAAGGTCAATGGTTTAATTATTATTATTATTATTATTATTTTGCTTTTATTTTTAAGGTTAGAGGTGGGTCGAACATTTTTATTTTTATTTATTTATTTTTGTATATCAAGAGTTCAACAATGTAGGGATATAAATTTAAACATCTACCATCGAGACAGATGCGCATTCTAACAAGTTAAGCAAGGTTGACAAGCAACTTAAAATTAAGGCAAAAGTGTAATTATTGATTCATGAGAATTTGTTACCCATTCAATCAAATTCTATAAAGGTTATTAAATTTAGTTTGAATTATGAACTTCAATATTATTGAATTTTAGTCTACAAACTCTTAAAATAATTATTTTAATGGTTAAACTTTAAAAAGAAAAAGAAATCAATTTAATTATTATTGTTATTATATTATTAATGGCTTCCCTCACCACCACACTTCAATAAATTTGTGTGACTTCACTACATGTACATATTAGTATATTAATACACATCTTTAAAGTAAGGTCATATAATGATAAAACAAATAACAATAATAATTAAATTTGACCACTTATTAAGTAAAATAAAATGATGACCTTCTCTTTCATGAGTAGAATTTTTTTAGTACAATATATTGGGGAGGTGATTCGAACTCACAACCTCTTGATTTGAGGTATATGCCAATTGCGCTGAGTTATGCTCGTTTTGGAGGGTGGATTTACTTATTCCGAGGGAGTATATAATTTCTGTTAGGTCAACTATTTTTTTTCAAAGGAATCAAATTCAAGGTAAGGTAACTTTAATCTTAAATCAAACCAAATAAATTTATTAAATTATTAAATCAAACCAAATAAATTTGTTAATTTTTTTTTCTCTCTCTCTCTCTCTTCTTTGTTCCTGCTGCTGCTTGAAGCAGCACATTTATGATTTAATGTAATTTCAGTTGGTCTTCTCAAATTTTAGTTTGATGTTTCGTTTCTTATTAAATAGAAAAATATATTTAATGCGATCCAAATCCAAACGGTGGCCCCCTTAGAATTTACTCAAAGAACCAACGGAGAAAATGGAAAGAAGGCCGTAGCCGTTGCGATTACGCGACCTCTAAAAAATTATATATATATAAAAGAAAAAAAAAAGAGAGGAAATCACATGAATGCCCCCCACCGACCGTAACGCTCATTTTAAGGCACCACTTACGTTGCCATTCCTACGGTCAATCGAGTCTCTATTTAACGAGCCACCACCGCGTCCGCTTACTTCCGCGTTTTCCCTCCTCCTCGGATCTCTCCCTCTCTCGCTCCCGCGCGCGCTCTCCTTTCAACTGTAAGAATCTTGATCTCTTCAATTTTCCATACTGTTCGCTTTAATTGCATTTCTTCTTCTCTGATCTCTGCATTGCCATCCACTTTCCGCTTTTATTTCTCGTAACCTGTTTCCGCTTCGATCCAACTGTATTTTCCCTGAAATCGAGTGGAGGATACAGAAATTTTAGCTCCTCAGGGTTTTCCTCTGTTTTCTCTTCGGATACTAGTTCGTTTCGGGTTAACTCGCTTAGATCTGGCTTTGAAAAGTTTTGCCGCCATTTTTCTGGCAGGCAATGAATGGAAATTTAACAATGAATGGCCAAGTCTTTAATTATTGGATTGCATTTCGTTCTCTAAACTATTACGATGTTGTTCTTTGTTCTTTTTCTTATCTTCATTGACGGTACTATATCCTTATGAATGTTGTGCGACAGTGCATGCTTTTATTTCCTTCCAGATCCTGAAGTCTACTACTGTATTTTCCCGAGTTTTTCTTTGTCCGAATGGATAGCCAAGGTCATGCATATTGGATCTGCAAAAATTCGATGAAAGTTGATAGTCATATTAAAATTTCGAAGATTTCAGTTTATTTTTTTTCCTATGTTCCGAGAGTTTAGAGAATATATAGATTAAGGAAATATGATTGCATCACGTTCAGGTTTAACATTTTATAAATCCAGCCTAATGTTCTTCCGACTTATCTTTTACTTTTATAGCATGAAAATCATATCACGCTATTATCTTTCCAGCTCTCTCCTCCTTGTTTGAGTGCTGAAACCTGGTTTTGACATATTTTTGTCTGGCTATGTAGATAGTGAGTTCATTTCTAAGTCAGTATAATGGGGACTGTCGTTGATGCTGCTCCAATCAAGGTATAATTGGACTATGTTTTTAATTATATATTGAGGAAATTGATGTCAATTGAAAGATAAGAATCTCCATTTTATTATTTTTTTGGACACAAGTTATGTGGGGATGTTATTTTTGCTTAATTCTTTAATAAATTATTTGACTCTGAGATTTTAGTACATCTTGTTCTGATCTAAATTTTAAACAATTTTGTATATGGTTAAAATGCAGTTACAGGAAACTAATGGAAGCTTAGCTGAGAAGAAGCCTACAGTTGTCTTTGTTTTGGGTGAGTATACTCTTCATGAGTCAAGTTATGATATTTCAAATATTAAATGAGTTCATAGGTTCTTATTTCCAAGTTCCTTTATTTTATTTATGCTAAATTTTGTTTTGGGTACTGAGTGGTAGTTGGTTTTTCTAATAACCAGGTGGGCCAGGTAGTGGCAAGGGTACTCAATGTGCAAATATTATCGAACACTTTGGGTACTCTCATCTTAGTGCTGGCGATCTTCTCCGGGCAGAGATCAAATCTGGTTCAGAGAATGGGTATGAATCATGTACTCGTACATATGTTGCCAAGACTTGAATAGGCTTTTCATTGAATCTTTATTTATTTGTTTATTTATGCATAGTTGCCAAAGTTTGAGAATTCCATGGCTTCTATCTGTCTCATTTCTAAACTTAAGGAAATTTTGAATTTCTTATGAATTCCTATTTGTGCTAGATGTCAGCAGCATATTATTGAGTCGTACTACCTAGAATTGAATAGACTACTATAAATTGAATCTTAACCCTATACTACTTAATTTTATAACCTGAAAGATTTATGTAGAAAAAAGTGATTGCTGTTTTTGCAATATGTCTAGCACTATCTGGATTATTGTGGTATTAATACCTAAAATTGAACAAGTCTCCTTTTTGGCATCTTCTCTAGCATATCATTTGTGGTTAAAAATTTTTGGATTATTTTTTGAGTTAATAGTCTTTTAACATCCCTGCATTATATTTGGATTTGGAAGGAGTTGGGCATTTGTCCTTGAGGGTTTACATCTAAGTTAATAATTCAGTTTTCTTTCTTCCAGTACTGGTTTTTTTTTTTTCTAAATGTGAATGCTTGCCTTTCCATATATTATCTTCTAAATCTTATGCTTTGTTTTCTTTTTAAGAAAACTATACATTATCATCGACACTGACAGGTTATCTATTTATCTGCTGATCCTACCATTTTATTTTTGTAGCACAATGATTCAAAACATGATTAAAGAAGGGAAGATTGTTCCTTCAGAGGTCACCATAAAGCTTCTTCAACGAGCAATGGAGCAAAGTGGTAACAGCAAATTTCTCATTGATGGATTCCCTCGTAATGAGGAAAATCGTGCTGCATTTGAAGCTGTTGTAAGCCATTTTTCTCCTTGCTCCGAGCTTAGTTCTTTTTAAAATTAATATGAGGTTGTTGTACAATCCAAGCTAGTAGTTATGTTTTGCTTGCTTCAACTGTGTATTTCATTGATGCTTTGCAGACCGGAATTGAGCCATATCTGGTCCTGTTCTTTGATTGTCATGAGGAAGAGATGGAGAGGCGCCTGTTGAGTAGGAATGAGGTGCGAAGTGATAAATTTCTCTTGTACTTAAATCTGTTATTTGAAAATTTATGTTCACGTTATGAATTCCCTTTATGTATTTGATCCAGGGAAGAGTGGATGACAACATTGAAACAATTAGGAAACGATTTAGGGTTTTCTTGGAGTCTAGTATTCCTGTGGTTAGCTACTATGAATCCAAAGGGAAAGTTCGTAAGGTGCCGATTCTTTCTCTTCCGACTTCAGTACATTTTAGCGTCCCTTTTAATTTTAAATTTTGAATCATGTTCTACTCTTCTTAGATCGATGCTGCGAGGCCTATTGAAGAGGTTTTTGAATCGGTTAAAGCTGTTTTTACTCCAAAAAATGAAAAGGTAAAGTTCTGTTGATATGCTATGCAGACTTTTTTTCCCCATTAACACATCTAGCATTTGACTATTAATGGACCTCTATTTGTTGGTTTTATAGAATGTGATTTGGAATTATGTACTCAATTTTTAAATATTTAGTTAAATTCTTTTGGTCTAAATTCTTCTGTTTAATTTTTATGACCATGTATCATATATTGCTTCTAATTGAGCATTCTTACTTTCCTCGTCCATTTATACCTTTATTATCTCTCCTTTTTGGCTCATGGACTCCTGATCCCCATTTCCTTTCAGCCTGTTAGGTTGTTTCTCTCTTCTGTTAATTTCTTTCATATGAAAAAAATATTTATAATTATTGATTATCTACTACTTAATTAAATATATTATTGATAATTATGTGAACAAAATTATTCATTATGCTGATGCTTTTGAAATATATGATTATATGTTGCATACACAGTACAGAAATGTTTAATTTAAACAGACCGAGTTATTTGTGTATTGGAAGGAAAGAAAATAATGAGAAGTCATGTGGGTAGAAAGAAAAAGTGAGCAATTTCTTATTTGGAGCTGGAACTTAGGCCTTACTGTTGGCGATGAGAGACATGTTAGGAGGGTTTATGATKTCTGTATGGTTCTAGATCATTTAATAAATTATGATCTGTATGTATGAAAATATTGATGTTCAAATATAAAAGTTACCATTCCAGAGAAAAAGACAAAGAAGTGTTCATACGATGCCTCCCCTTGAACCATATGGATTATACTTCTATGCCCGGTTGCTCTTCTGTTGCCCTAGCAGTTGGCAGTTTCACCTTTTGTGGCACTGAATCTTTACGTGTTAGACTGTTGCCTTTTGACCTTGTGGCTAGTGCACAGAAGCCATATGCATTCATTAGAGATCATTAAAAGTTATTGTCATAATGTGGCTGTTAATTTCGTGACCTTTAGATACAAATACAGTGGTCAAAAAGTATTTTTTGATTTCTAAACCATTCATCTACGAAGTATGAAAGTGGTAGTCATGTTTATCCACACGCCCATAATTTGCTCATTTTCTACATTGCTATTCATAATACATTCTGGCATCCCATGGCTACTGATGTCGGTGTGGTGTGCTTGTTGCAGGCTGACTAGACTGAAGATTAATTTCCGATTAGTTTTGCGTGAAATATCTGCTTTGAGGTAAGATTGTAATCACAAATATCGCATATCAGCTTTTAATCATTTGGAGAGCAAAAAGGGCTTTTCCCACTCTTAAGATTTTGGGAGCTTCAACTCCGTGTTTTTTCTAATTTCTTTTTTATGCTTTTGTATTGGTAGGTATTGATTTTGGTGGCTGCATCAGAGTTGGATGTTTAGGTTCTATTTCATACAAGGAGTCAACCATATTCTTATTATTGTTACTGTACTTTGTTACTAAAATTTGTAATAATAGTAAGTAGCAAGTCCGTGTGCAGCTTACGAAAGAGGTCTATGTCTCTATATTCTTCTCATTGAGATTATTGTATCCATTGATTTAAACAATATAGGCTTGGTTCTACTATTGATCTTTGATCAGCAGTGTTCTTCTCTACAGTGCATCGCCCCATCCCATCGCCACCTCTTATTTTCAATATTAATATTAATGTTAAAGCTAGATAACCTCAGCCATTTTTTGGCAGATATAAGTAGAGTCATTTCAATATGTAACTTTCTTTTGGCAGCTTACACATAAATAAAGAGACGGATTCACCAGTAGATCCTCGTATTGCATCTCAATTGAAGGGGAAAATTGATGAGTGTAAGGAAACCAATTTGAGATGGTCGTTCTTTTTTATGAGTATAGTATAAGGAAGGCTAATTTGCGCACAGATAGGAAAAAAATGGAACGATAATGCAAGGTAGGGGTGCATACCGAAATCGACAAAACCAACAAAAGAAAAAGGTCATACCGAACGTTTTTTGATTTATGCAGTTCCTCGCTTGGTTCGGTTTATCACAATTTTTAAACTGAAATTTGCCATTCAATCTCAATCCTCTAAGCCAAATCCCTAGTATGGCATGTTCCCTCCCCTGTCATGCCTTTTTGGTTGGCACTCACGATTCACGCCACCCGCTAGCCTTAATCACGAAACACTTGCAACCTGCTCATTTGCTTGTAAAACTGCAAACCAAACCGCCAGCTTGCAGTTCGGTTCGGTGTGGTTTGTACACAAACTTTAGTTTTGTTTAAATTTGGTTTGATTTCACTTTCGCTCTCAAACCGAACCACGAACACCCTAGTATAAGGAGAACAATTTGAGACGATACTTCTTTGATGAGTATGGGGAGATGAATGTGCGAGCGGATAGATAGAAAAAATGAGACATAGTTATTAGATGAGGGTGCAGATAGATAGCCTTTGCCTAGACGAATAGGATACCATTCTCCTTAATGGTGTCAATGACAATCTCAATTTTCCCTTCAATTCTTTCACTCTTTGGAGGCTCATAAGACATTACAAATACATCAGCTTCTTTACATCTCTCTGCAATTATGTTCCCTATAATCCGGCATGCATTGTCATCAGTAGGTGATGGTAATGAATACCTTAAATCCTTGGAATTGGTACTTGCTGCCGATACCACTTTGCTTGTTGCTCGATGCATCACTTTGGCATGGATGAACCTCCTCGAAAAGAAAACATCCAAAACAAATGGTCTCATGTACATATCTGTTCTTTGCTTCCATGATTTCCTGTTCGGTCTTTTTGCAGCTTCTCCTCGAGATCTTCGTGTCCAGGCTGCTCGAATGAAAGAATTCTACAGACGAATACAAGTCATAATTAAGCTGGGTAATGTAATTTCTTCTTTGATGATTAAAATGTGGAATAAGCTATAGTTTGGCCCTAAACTTGCATGCCTTAGTATCTAAACCTTAATCTAAAGATTATCCGTCATTGGCATCTTAGTCTGTTCTAAAACTTCTAAATAGTTCGCTGACCTATACTTATGGTTTCAAACATATATTTAGCTGTAACATTTGAATCTGATTTCGAGCATTAATCCATGGAAAGAACTTACATTTTTAGTATCGAATGACCTGTCATGCCTCAAGAACCCATAAGACTCACAAGTGATTAATGCTGAAAAAACTTCTAGTTTCCATTATTTCTCTCTTTTTCTCTCCCGTCCATTCCTTTAGAAGAATTCGGTTTCAGTTGCCATAATTCTACTGCAATGAAATCTTAGACAGAGAACCTTTTCCCTTCTTGAAAATCCCTTTTCTTACTCGATTATTAAAACTAGAAATAGAAAATTTGTAGGTCATGATGCGATTCAACGACTTGTTTAGTAGGTGTTGACGCCAATTTTCAATTATAGTGGTGAGAACACAGATTAGACACTTCGTCGATGGAAGAATCAATTCGACTAGACATTTCATCGAACACCATGGCTGCATAGTCCGAAAGGGCGTCCATCAAAACAGTCTATGGAGTTCGAATGCCACGTTCTTCGGGAAAAAAAAAAGGACAAACAACTCGACATAATTTGTCAGCGATCGTTGGCGAAGTAGTATTCGCGCTGGGTTTCGAAGAATTTCCATCCTTCTTCGAAAACGTGATTGTATTATATGAAGAAAGAAATTTTATTGCGGGAAGATTGGGAAATGCGTGGCCGAAACTTGAGTAAAAGAGAGAAGGCGTACTCTATCGTGCGTGGAAAATGGAGGTGCTGCAATGGCGTCGAAGGAGATGCAGAGCTTGGGAAAAGAAGACGGCCATGAAAGAGAAGTGGGTTTCTGAATGAAACCTGTAAGTAATCTGGCGGAGGGTCGAAGAGCAGAAGCTGACGACGACAATGGCTCGGGAATTGTTAAGCTCAACATTTCCACAGTCGCAGTTTGCTCTCCAGGATTCGCTTCAACTCCCACTGGTAAGACTTTCTTTGCTTATACATTATTCCATAAGAGAGAAATCCTCTAATAGAGCTTGTTTTGCTTACGTGGCAGTGTCTTAATTATGTGGTTCATTTATTTTTTAATATGCTTATGATCTCTGAGAAATACACACACTCGTCACACGTGTGTGTTGATGTTCTGTTGAATACATGATTTATTCTATATATATTATGGTCTTTTGTATCATTTACATTTGGTACATAATCTTGAGTCACACATTATATATCTTCCACTGAATTTTCCATATATCTTTGAATTATATGAAACTTCCTTGACTTTAGGTTATTGTAATCAGCCCTAGTAATCTGGAAAACAAACCACCGTAGTTTTATTACCACACAAACACCAAAAGTAGCTCAAACTCACACATTAACACACGTCTGTGGACATAAAACTAGAAACTATAGGGAGCCATAGGCCGTGGGTGTGGTTAGGGGCTGAAACCCGCATCGAAGGGTTGCTTCCCAGACTTGCTCGATATCGGACATTGTAGAGCCACACTCATGCTCCGTCCACCCTTCCATTGCGTGCACCACCCCAGCGATGCGCCATGCGCTCATCACTCGTCTCGCCAACCAGTTCTACAACAATAATTTAAAGTTTACTTAGTTTAAGTATAGAATGTTTGCAAAGATGTGGATTATAAAGCGTCTAACTTTTTTATATGTATATAATCTTTCAATTCTAAAAATTATACGATACGACTCTGTTCGAGTTTTATCAAGAGTGCATACCTCGCAAGTGTGCAGATTGTGGAGGGAAGGAGGGGCCCTCATTGCAGGTGTGCAGTGGTAGAAGCAGTCTTTACGTACAGCCTTTGGAGGGAACTGAGAGAAGGGAATGAAAGTGGTTCCTTTTGGAGCCTTCAGCTGTTCTTCATCGGTAAGTCCATCTCCCACCAACCATATCTGCATAATGTTTTATTTGTTTTTATGAACTTTTTTCTTATGCAATCTAAAACAAAACAAGTGAATGATGGAGAGAGCTGATGGAATTTTGGAAGTCACATTTGGAGATTGGCCTTTTGAAAGGACTGGGTTGCCTTCAAACTTTTTGAGTTGTTTGTAGTGTTGTTGATGCAACACAGCAATTTGAATGCCTCTTTTGGAGAGGGAATGATAAAGGGCAAAGGCCACTTTTGTAAATTTGCCTGTGAGGAGAATTTGGGTGCCAAATTTAGGGATGCTATTCAGCACTATACCCACAGCCAGGCTACTCCCATCCACCACCCTCACTCTTAGTTTAGGGTTTCTCTGTACATAAATCCCTCCATTTTTGTTCAGCTCCTCTCCCTGCAAAATAATTTTGCATATAAATTTGTTTGTTAGCTCAATCTTTATGATTAGGAATTTGTTATTTTTTAGGAAATTAAATGACTTATTGGTTTGCCTGATTCAGAAGGCCTAAAGTTAAGACTTTACAGCCCTTTTGGTCTGCCTTGATTATGGCTTCTTCAATCAAGCTGTTTATTGATTCGGTTTGCAATTCAAGCGAGTACTGCACAAATGGGTTCAAGCTCCATCAGTTCCAAATCAAACTGTAGTATAATATCATATATCAAGATTAAGAGTGAAATTATAAACTTTGTAATATTGTATAAAACTGTAAAATAGATTCTTAAATTTAAGTTCTTGAATTAAAAAAGTCTCTAGTAAATCTTTCAGATTTGTCTTAAAAATCTCAGTATGTTCTATTTTTTTTCTTAAATTAACGGATGCATTTTCTAATAAGACTCTAAATTTTTTTAATTTTGTCTTTTTATGAAAATTTTATACAATATCGAATAGGACAAATATCTATTAGACACAAAAATTCAAATTCAGATACTTGACACAAAATTTAAAAAGTTAATCTATTAGCTAAAGATACAAAAATTAAAAAGCTTCAATATCTATTAGACATATTTTAAAGTTCAATGGGCATCTATTAGAAGGTACAAAAACTAAATCTATAATTTTACCTCAATTTTTTCTTAATAAATTTAGCAGGATAATAAAAAGTGTTTTAGAAGTAGACAAAGAGTACTTTTGGAGTATGAAGCAATCCAGAAGTGCTTCAATTCAACCCAAAACATTTTTTGTGGTTAATGTCACCTGAACGTTATACTTGGGGATGGCCCACGTTTGCATCTTGAGCTTCTCAAATTGGTTGCGTTCAGTGACAATTGTGCGGCCATAAATCCAGGTCAGCAGCATGGACCCCATCGTGACGGGTGACAGCAACCACAGATACCACGTGGAGCTGTGGGGCCTGGAGGCCAGCGTGGCAAATCCTAGCCGTAGATGATAGATGGATTCGGGAGTGGTGAGATGAGTCAGATGAACCACGTCAGCAATTTCTTCCTCTCTTTTGAGAGAGTTTTGGTAGAGAGCATCTGAAGAATTGTCAAATGTGCCGTAGATGTAATCGTAAAAGGGCATAAACAGCGAGTAGTTGGTTCGGAATTGCGTGTGATGCAACGAGTGAAACCTGTAATTATTTTATAATTTTCATTTTTTCTTTCTCAAATGTTAAAAGCAATTATTTTTATTTTTATTATTAAAAACAATTAAAAAATAATTATATATTTAAGAAATGGGTTAAATTACTAATTTAATCCCATTGTGCCTAAAAGATCAAATGTCTAGTAATTTTCCATTTTGTATCTAATAAATCATCAGTTTATTTAAAAGACCTCAATGCTTCTAGGATTTTTTTGAAAGGAGTTATTCAAGATAACAAGTAATCACTATCATTAATTTTATATTCATTATCTTTTTAATCAAATAAGTATCTTTTGAGAAAAAAATTTAAAAAATAAAAATARAAAGAAGAAAGCTCATAAGATATATCTCTACTTTGACCAGTAACCAAAGTATGCATAAAAATCTAATTACTTGGCTACCCTCCGCAACATTATTAGCCCCAACTTCTTTCAATTTCTCAATCAAAATAGTACTTTAAAACTCAACCAATTATATTTTTCAACTAACCATATTTGTCAAACCCATAAACTATTATATCAGCACATTTACAACATCAACATTAACAGTATTAATATCCATAAATATTCGGGTCAACCTACGTGCACTTCGATTAAACTCACAAGACAACCGTATAATCGTACGACGTATTAGTTTTTTTTTCCTTAAATTTTAAATGTAGAGAGAGAGAGAGAGAGAGAGACTTACGATGGAGTATACATGAGATACTTGAGAGGAGGAAAGAGAGTGAAGATAGAAGTAGGGATGAACTCGAAGTTGCAATGGCCCATGTAGTTCATGAAGTCAACGTAAGAAATATAAAGAAAATAGGCTGCCACCGACATAGTTCCACTCCACACTGCCGCCATCATTGGAATGTCGAACAGAATGTAATATGCTATCACCTCCCCAAATGGATGAATCACAGCTGCGTAAATCAAACAACAACTCATATACCTTTCTATCATTTCATTTTTCTCAACTCAATTTTTCTTTTTACCATTTTCTACCTTTTTTACATTACGTTTCAAATCAATTTCAAGTTTCAACAACTTTAAATATTATAAAACATTTTTTAATTTTTTTTACCTTAAAAAAATTTGGAAACCAAAAAAAAAAATTCAAAACAATTATTTTATATTCTTGAATTACGAAAGGCAAAATAAATATAAAACACAAAATTTGAATATTGAATTTTAAAGGATTAATTTTCATATGGAAATTTTACTTTTTTTTTTAATTTTAAGATTTTAAAGAACTAGAAATTACCAAACAAACTTTTGTTTGTTTTTTTCAATAAAAAATATAAAAAAAACAAAAGAAACAATTATGAAAATTTGGTTACTGTGTTTGTGTTTATGGGTCGAAGATTTGAACTTATAACCTTTGTCAAAAATCAGTGTTAATTATCACTTAACTAGTACTTGTGTAATGCAAGTTCTCTGTTTATCAATCAATACCCACCTTCTTGCCTACTCCAATATTAAATATATTAAATATTTGACAACTCAGTTATATTTTAAAATAAATTTTTGTTTTTGTTTTTCTATCTCTTAATGGTCAAATGTCAAATATTTACTGGGGAAAATTGTAATGAATAGGCACTTTAAAAAGGGAGTATTGATTTCTAGTTTAAAAAACTAGGTTTTCTAGACATTTTTTCCTTCCAAATTACTTTCCTATCCTACCCCTCTCTCTTACTCCTTCTCTCTTCCTTTCCCTCCTCTCTCTTACTTCTCACTTTTCTCTCTCCTTGTTATTATTTCTCTTCCCAAAAACTTTCTTTCTCTTCTACCCATACCCCCTTCTCTCTCTCCTCTTTCTCTTTCTTCTTCTACCCACGCCCCCTTTCTCTTTATCCTTCCATATTCTCCACCCCCTCTACCCATCGTGATCCATGTCCTTCATCTAC